ATATGGCTCCATTCGACTTGATTTGATTAGCTTGGAAATGCTCTCCTTTTTATATTCTCTTTTGAGTTAAAGTTGTGGATAGTACCTGGTACATTGTACATCTTCTGGTGTTATCTTGGCTGAGGAATTAAGTGAGCTGTATCAGAAGTTATCCTGTATCTCTCTCCACACTCTAAGGCCTTGTCCACACTATTTTAGGTCAATGAAAAGACGTAACCAAAACTAGTGCTGGTGTTAATGTTGCAAACTGGACTTTAAATATTTCACATTCATAAAGAGTTGCTCTCCCACTTTGTTGACGAGTAGATTTCACCATAGGGACTGAAAATTGACACCTGCAGTGTTTGCAAAAAGCAGCATATTCATTGGCTGGTACTTTTCAGGGACGCTGTAACTCTCCTGGAGCTCTTTGGAAAACAGTGACCTCCTTTTCCATCATTTCTACCTGTTAGCATAATAAGCTAGGCTAGCTAAGCAAACAGCCACAACCTAGACAGTGATTGACACGTACGACAAATCAGTATTGAACCTTGAACCATGTCGCTAGTGATGATTTTCTGTCGGTTAAAACAGCAACAGCCTTGGCAACGACTTTGATTGACACATTAACAGACATATCAGTGCTGCTATGCATGGTGTGGTCTTTTAGTTAGTTAAAACAGGGACAGGGACTGTTCCATACCGGGACATATCAGTGTTGTATAAATATTTGTGAGGACTCTGTACACAGAGCTTGAAAACAGGACAGTATCAATCAAATTGGGGCGTATGATCACCCTTCGTTAACCTAACTTATGGCTTCATGGGAGAAAGCTAGCGAGCTAATTTGGTTGACCCCAGGCAAGCTTGTGATTCAAGACAGCAGGCGAAACTTGTCTTAAAGTTTAAGACAACAAATCCCACCCTCAAAGAGAGAAGTTGTGATTGGTTAGTTTTACTGTCATTTGAAATGTGTCCCTCGTTGAATAATGTTTAATAAGCCTTCATGGTGATATAGTGGGACTATCAATGACAGCTGGAAGCAGATGAGAACTTTCTGCATGGCAGCAGCAGAGATGGAAATCTGTGATAGGGTGACAAATTTCCCTCCTTCATTTAACCCTTTACTTGTCAACAAAACCTTAGGGGCAAGTTTTCAGGTTTTTTTCTAATTCTAAATATTTTGTTTATTTTCTCCCGCATGTCAAAAAAAAAGAACCACATGACTTCTTACTATGACATGATGTGAATCCGCAGAGTTCACAGCTACCTTTCAGTTCCCCTCAGCTGAACAGCACATTTTACTGTCTTTCACTTCATTGTTAAACAGCATGTACATTTTAATATAAGCAGCAGGCGGCTGTTTTCAGATCTACAGCTGTACACTAACAGGGCAGACTTACAGAATCAGCAGTTAGCAGCTGTTATTAATGGAGCAATGAGCAGTCAAAGATCAAAACACACTGATTCACCAGTATGAATCTCAGAGAATCAAATCCAACAGCGGGTCCGAAATGTGAATAAAATAATCATAGGCTACAGTTTTCTCTGTCTGTGTAAATGAGCAACTGGTTGCTTGCAAGAATGCCATGTTAATTTAATAAGATTAAAGGTCAAAGGGGGACTAAATGGGGACTAAAGGAGAACGTACTGGGCTTTAATAGCTGCTGTTAATACCGCACATCTTATAAAAGCTGGATGCAGACAATATAAGAATGGTAAATGGACTCAAGCTTGTATAGCGCTTTCCTCTTCTGACTACTCAAAGGGCTTTTACACCGCATGTCCCACCTATTCACACACTGATGGCAAAGGTTACTATGTAAAGTGGCTATCAAAAGTAACTAATCCCATTCATACACATTCATACACCACTGATGAAGCAGCGACAGCAATTCAAGTGTCTTGCTCAATGACACATTAGACATGTTGCTGCAGGAGCTGGAGATCAAACCCTCGATCCTTCCAGTTGAGAGACGATGACTCTACCAACTGAGCAACAGCTGTTTCAAGAACACATGCTGCCCTGGACATATTGTATACTCACTTTAACATGTGGTTTAAGAATGAACACATTCATTCATTCATTCATTCACTCTGTCGCCCCCCGGTGGTGGAATGAACTTCCAAACTCCATTCGATCTGCAGAGTCCCTCTGCACCTTTAAGAAAAAGCTAAAGACCCAGCTCTTTCATGAATACCTACTAACTTAATGATGATGGTCTCCATATTATTGATGATGCATGATGGTAATGACGATGGTTTTTGTTTGATAACAACAACGTATAAGATGGTTTCTATACTGATTAGAGCTCTTAATAACTGCCCTCAATGTTGTGCTTTGCCTCTGGTCACTTCCTGTCAGCACCTGTGTGTCCAATCAGACTCAAAGCTGATCGTTTGCTCTTACTGACATTGTTCCCTTTTTTCTAGATCCTTGCTTGTGTTGTACTTATTCTCGCTTTGGATAAAAGTGTAGTTGTAGAATTAAGGGAAATGTTCTAAGGTTAAAATGTAATTAACAATTCAACAATGCATAGGCAGTACAACAGAACACATTACATGGACAGATGTCACTCTGTCGGAACAAAGTGAAAGGCTAAAAGTCACGCTGGGACATTCAGAGGAATTGAGAAAGAATGAGAGAGCATGAGAGTGATAAATGAGAGTAGGCAGCGATGGGACACGTGCTTTGAGGATGCATCAAGCAGAGAGAAACAGTGGAGGGAGTTGTGTTGCACTTAAAGGAGCACTGAATGAACGGAGGAGCTGGAGCAGAAAGAGAGTGGAGCGAGGGGCAACCTGAGAATGAAGGATGAGCGGGAGGGAGTCCGGAGAGGCTGATGGAGGAGGAAACAGAATGAGCGATGAGAGGGAGGTGACAGATGCAGGAGGAGAAAGAAGAGGGCGGAAGAGAGGGAGAAACGATGAGGGGGAAGGAAAATAGATGAGACACAAAGTAGCAGGGAGATAAATGCAGAGTGAACAATGAGAGAACGAAAGCTCATAAAAGACGAGGCTGAGAGAACATACAAATAATGACCTTCATGATAATATGCACGGAGTCATGTGGTTTCATATTCAGTTAATAATATTGTAAGAAGTCATTTCAAGAGAAGAACACAAATGCCTTTCTGCCAAGACCTACAGCATCAGCTATTTCAGTAAATGAGCAATATATGGAAATATGATTCCAAACCGGCAGCTTTAGGTAATATGATTCTCCCCATCGTGAGCAAAAGAAGTAGCTGGGTGATTGCAAAGCCACAAATTCCACAGAAACAGTGAAGACCACTGATCAGAATTTTTAGCTCAGCTTAATTTTTGCAACGACAAGCAATTAAGCCAATGCTGCAAGAAACTACACTACGTATATGTTAACTACTGCAGGTAAAGGCAAGGTTTAAGAGGTAGTTTAGGAGGTGCATGTTTGCACATTGTTTTCCAACAAGTGTCTTTTTGTAACATTACATCACAGCACCTGAGGAAGAGCCCGGTCGGCTTGAAACGTCATAAATCTTTCTGTGACATTAAACAAGTTCTATGAAAAGATCTACTTCTCTCCGGAAGAAATTACTCGTTAAATCCCTGAGACAGATTATAGGACTCATCACCACCATAAGTGATGTTCGACAGCAGGGCGTGAGCCGTTGGATGGAGCAAAACCATGACGCTGACTATGTGCAAATTGCGTAATAGCCAGGGCCGACTTCATGACTTAAGATTTACATCAAGTGCACCAAGCCTAACTGAGACAGTTTGTAGCAGCATCCAGTTTTTATCATACGCTTACGTTCATGTGAACATTCGCCAAGCGGAGACTGTTACCAAGTAACAAACTTAAGGATATGCAAACCAAAAGAAAAGACAAAATCCTTTAACAGGTAGCGATATCATTGGTGTAAAAGTCACACACAGGTACAACTCAAATAGGGCTTAAATTGAACTGGTGCACAGGGGATAACACAAGTTTGCTCTAGGTTTTAATTCCAAGTCAGATATTATGTTACATCCAGGCATACGCCCAGCTGATGCCCTCAGCTCCAGGACTCTCAGATCATCTGAAACAGGCCTTGAGGATGCCCCAAAACGTCGAGCATTTTCTGTGCACATTCAGGTCAGACGGGTCGATGACGGCTGATCAGCTGCTCCCTTTGTATTGTTCTGTGTTTGTTGTTGTTGCTTGTTTCTTATAAATGCTTTGACTTTAAATATAATGATCTTTTTGAGCTCTGTACTGTACAGACCTTTAGTCGACTTCAGCTGTTTTAAACAGTAGATTTCAAAGTCCTTTCAGATAGCTAAACAGCCCCTGAAAAATCTCCAACAAAACATGCCCACTGTTGAACATAAAATCATTATTTTCCACTTGTGCACAGAGGATAAAGGATTATTACTGTCAAACTGTCCCTATGTTCTTTAGCCTATTAAGAGTATTAGTAACACATTTCTGTGGTTGATTTCTGTGCACGTATACTGTAAATATAGACTAAATCACTCTGATGGTATCATCACCCATCTTAATGAGTAAGGGGCTCGGAGTAGAAGAAGGAGCAGTTAATTGAAAGGGGCTGGACTCAAAGAGTGACAGTTGTGTTTAATGGTTGGGGACTAAGCTTTAGTGCCGTGGTTAACAGCAGGGCTCTGTGCTAGGCTACATCTCCTAAGTTTTCAGAAAGGGTTCATAACATTGCATCACTCTTCCTTGATACTGTAGTTAGAGGGCATGGAGACCTGATTGCTTTCTGTCATCGCCCCCGCCGAGTGTCAAATGATCTCTGAAACCTGCCCTAATAAAACAGTTGATTGATTATGTCAGTGTCTTATCTATCAGTGCTGCTGCAGTGGCTTTAGCATTCTGACTGACTGTAGCTCATGTTTTATTAATGACTACAGAGGATGATTATCTGACCTCAGGATTTTTTTGTTTTCTCCCCATCTCTCCATTGCTTCTATCCCATCCGTCAAACTCCTTTCTCCCCCTGTCTCTCTGCCCCCCCCCCCTTCCCTCTCCACCTCAGGGCGAGTGTTCCTCTAAGTGCTACAACATGTTCATCATAGAGACCGTGTGTGTGGCCTGGTTCTCCCTGGAGTTCATCCTGCGGTTCATTCAGGCCCGCAGCAAGCTGGAGTTCCTCCGCGGGCCGCTCAACATCATCGACGCCATGGCCATCCTTCCCTACTACGTCTCCCTGGTGGTGAAAGAGGAGGACACGGACTCGAACCACGAGAGGCCAGGAGGAGGTAAGGGCTACCTGGATAAGCTGAGCCTTGTCTTGAGGATACTCCGGGCGCTGAGGATCCTCTATGTGATGCGGCTGGCTCGCCACTCCCTCGGCCTGCAGACCCTGGGGCTGACGGTCAGGCGCAGCACGCGGGAGTTTGGCCTCCTCCTGCTTTTTCTCTGCGTGGCTGTCACCCTCTTCTCACCGCTGGTCCACCTGGCTGAGAGCGAGCTCACCGGCACCCACGACTTCAGCAGCATCCCCGCGTCGTACTGGTGGGCCATTATCTCCATGACGACCGTGGGCTACGGCGACATGGTGCCTCGAAGCATTCCAGGTCAGGTCGTAGCGCTGAGCAGCATCCTCAGTGGGATCCTCATCATGGCCTTCCCTGCTACCTCCATCTTCCACATGTTCTCACGCTCCTACCAGGAGCTCAAGATGGAGCACGACAGACTGTTCAAGGAGGAGTGTGCGGCGGCTGCTGCTGCAGCTGCTGCTGCCACCGGGGAGCTGCAGGAGCCAGCAGGCGACGGAGAAGTGGGGGACTCATCTGTGCCTCGACTGGGATTGCACCCAGACAAGGACAGTGTGCACTCACTAGAGTCCCTCGCTCTTTTAGGGAAAGGCGAAGAAGCTGCAGGAAACAACAGCCACAGTCTGCCACCTGCAGCTTTCTGAGCACTACTCGAGCAGAAACTTCCATGAAGATACCAGAGCCTACTGATCTATTTGTTGCATTGAATAAAAGTACTGAAAACATTACGTTAAGCTCTTGAGGGTATCTCGGATGAATGGAGATTAAACAAACAGCAGTTCCTTTGCTCTTTGGTCTGCAGACTGCTCAGAAACTTAAGAGACTTCAAACCCTTTAAAATGGACAGTCTAGTCTGACCAGAAAGCCTCTGCAGCAATATCAGTAACCAGCTGCTCCCATTAACATGCAATATTCAATCCAAAGTTGCTTTTCCTTTCACTGTGAAAAAAACATATATATATATATGTATATATATATATATATATATATATATACTTAAACTGCAAGTTTTAGTTTGATTCTTATTACTTTTAATATGTTGCCTACAGAATGACCTGAAAATGTGTCTCATACTCAACTTTCTGTCATGAATTCAAAGAGGTGCTCCTCTTGATTTATTTTTGACAAGCTTGAAGCCATGTTCTGAGAAGAAATATAAACTCACTGAAAGTCTTGCCCATATATGATATGATATATATATATATATATATATACATATATATCCATCTCTCTCTCACTCTCGAATGCTTGATCCGAACGAGGTGATGGTTTCTTCATTCTCTACTGTGAACTCCAGGTAAACTGTGATGTAATATATTGCAGAAGTAAGAATCCAGATAGTTTGAAATAGGATGGTGGAGAGCGTTTGTGTTGGAGAGAGAGAGAATGTGTGAGTGAGAGAGAACGAGCGCTAAGAACCATGACATGTACTTTGCATCGCTCCAAATAAAAGCTCTCCTAGTAATCTGAGAGAAATCCATTTTCTGGGCTGTAGTGTTTTTTTTTTTTTTTTTTCTAATCTCCTTGGCTAATTGGGGACGCACAGACAGAATCCTGAGACTGAAAACTTCTGAGTAAAGTGGAAACAGAAACAGCTGTCTGAGGCAGACACAAAGATAAGTATTCTTTGAACAACAATTCTGCGACTTTTCTCTTCTTACTCCACCTTCCTGTCGTCATGGGGACAATTACGACACTCTGGACGGGTTGCTGTGTCTCTCCACAAATCTGATTAATAGATGCGGAACTTCCTAAATCTGCTGAATGTTACATATCCAGAGATAAACTTAGTGCATCATCCCGAGTCAAATCCTAGGGTGACCTCCAAAACAGACGGGGTCATCCTCCTTTATCTGGTGAGTCACACAATGGGGTCCAAGAGGGATGTGGAGGCACGCAGGGACATGCCAGATGTGGATGTAATCTAGATTAAAATTGGGATTAAGAGACCCAGGCTAAATGTTTCTGCTTGCAACTCATACCTATACAGCTATTAAATATTGTATTTCCTCTTCTTCTTTTTTTAACTTAAGGAGGCAAAAAACTAAAGTAGATAGGCTACCTAATTTGGTCAGTAATTCTATTGCACTCGTTTGGTGTATTTTGGCTCCACAGATCAGCCATATGGCATCCAATTTCAGCAGCTATAGCTCTTTCCACTATATACAGTGTGATTTGGGATCAGAGCCTCTTTACTAACATATGGCCAAGTTGCTGTCAATCGGAATGAGGCAATCCAATTTAGCATGATGAGAATGAGATATGATGGATTACACAGATTACGGATGTTATCCATCTGTGTGCTCTATACGAGTATAAAAGATATTATAGGCTACGGGCAGCATGTGCATACTTTTCACAGCACTGATCATGGTTCATCATTCTATAAAAACAGTTAAGGGAATAATGCATCCTCGCAGGAGAAATAAAGATACACAATGGGTAATAAAGGAGCTTGCAGCTGTCCAGATGGGAGGATTGGGCACAGCATGCTTAACTTCAAACAAGAACATAAAGTCACTGCTTGTGATGCAGCACAATCATATTATCCTAAAACATGTTTTTTTTCATTCACTCTTGTCAGTTCAGGATGGTTGCATTTAAATGGCAAGATAAAAATAATATGAAAGCAATATACTGTGCTGGACCTTTTGGAAAATATTCTTCCTCGCTTTTTGTCATAGAAGTTGGTTGGAAAGACATGAATGTTCATAAACACCCGCTTGTGCACATCTCAAGCTCTCTTTGCAAAACTGGAAACCCAATTTGAGCGTTTTTCCCTTACCTCATCACACAGGGTACATGCATGTCATATCAAACATTATGTGATCTGTGTGGCACAGTGTGGCTTGCAATAATCTTGTAAAACCAAATCTGTAATCTGTAATCTTTGACCAAAATGAGTCGGAGGTTGATTTGGGCAGTGAGCAGATCATACACCTCTTTGATATTTTGGCAGATGAGCATATTTTGTTAAATGTTTGACACCACTCACACAAACACAGACGTTAAACTTGTGAATGAGCACATGAGCGAGAAGGGCTTTCGATGCTCTGTCGGTGTTACAGTTTAACATGTGACCCTGTTAAATATTTGTGAGTACTCTCTCTGTTTCAACACCTGTTGTAACTATGGCAGTCACAGACATATGCAGCTGAAGGTCACCAGTTAACATGGTCACTCTTTTAACCATAACAATGAGCAGTGTCAGCAGAGAAACTTACGAGACCAGCTTTGCACCAAATTACAAGAAACACAAAATCCCCTGGTTCAGCGCGTTGGACAAAATCCTTTGGAACCAAAGTAAGTTGTTGGACCAGTAGATGTTCAAAGGATATGATGAGTAAAGTAAGCCTATCGCTATCTTAATGCTGATTATATGTTGTAACCAAGATGTCCCAGTATTACCACTAATACTAATACTATAGTGTAATGAGTCCTACAGTTATTTGATCTGGATGCTGGCTTGATTGCATTCTGAGAAAAGACCCCACAGTGCAAGCAGCATGGCATAACTATAGACTGTAAATATTAATGATTGAAGCCTGAGTGACGAAAGGCCATCCTGTTTCTGCAGCGGGCTCCGGAGGTTCAGCAGCAGCCACCATGCTGGAAATGCTGTCTTAGCTTAACTTTCAGTCAAACTAACGACAGGCTGAGAGCTGCAGCTGAAGCGGGTTTTAAGCCTCTTAAGGGAAGTGCTGGTGGCGCAGTGGTTAGTGCGTTTGCCCCATGTATGGAGGCTGTGGTCCTCCAAAGCGGGCGACCCAGGTTCAAATCCAGTCTGTGGCTCCTTTCCCGCATGTCATTCCCTACTCTCTCTCTTCGTGATTTTCAACTCTGTCCTGTCTCTACATTAAAGTCAAAAAAAGCTCCAAAAAATAAATAAATCTTTAAGCCTCTTGAGGAACCGTTACGTCGCGCCCCGTACAGTGCAAATTCACCCCGCCGTACAGTGTGTGCCAGTGATGACAATAACTAATCAGATCTATTTAGTTTTTGGTACCAGGCTGTAAACATGTTTATTGATGTAAAAAACAGCTTTTTTGTCTGTGGTGTGTTTGTGACTTCCTGTGTTCCTGCAGTCAGCCTCAAGCGGACACTCGATGAACTGCAGGATTTTGCACTTCAGCATTGGCTTCATTTTTCAACACCTGAAGTTGCCTCTTGATCAAATCACTCATACCCTGTAGGTTAAGAAAACTTTAATAACTTAATTTACTTAACTCAAATTGAAGCAACTCGAAAGAAATGAGATGGTGTTAGGGGAGAAAACTGAACTGATGACTAATAATATGTGGCTGTAATATAACAGGGATGATTATGGTTTATTCTTAAACAGATCTACAGTATGAGCCTACAGTAACACATATACAATCATATTGTTTCACGCTGGTACTCGCACTGACTGTAAGTAGTAAAACAGAGGCTGTTTTGTTGCGATGGATCTCCAGTCCCTTTTTCAGGTGTCTCTGAGGATCTCTACTCCACGCTCCTCACACACCTCCAAAGATTTTAACAAACTCTCCTGCTGAACACAAACTGTCGCCTCTCAACACTTTGATTACATGATAAGGTTCTCTGTGTTTCTGTTCCAGCACTGTATTTATTTCTGTCTGTTGGCCTCCTCTAACCCTCTCATTTTTTTAAATCACATTATTTATAACAGTGTTGTTTTATTGTCTGTGTCTCTTCAGTCTCAGATCCAATCTTTGTATGAATGCTGGGGCACAAAGAGTGTGAACAAACTATTACTCAGAGAGTCAAACAGACGTGCACAACAACACAACACAACACATGATGAATGGAGTAACATCTAATTTAATCCAGTAAGTTAGAACATGAAAACAAATCCATCAAAAGTTTGTAAAGTCATGTCAGTGGCTTCCCTCTCTCTCTCTCTCTCTCTCTCTCGCTTGCTCTTTTTGTCTCGTTCTTCCACATCTCATGCACACCTACTCACTTTGGAGACTGAGGGGTTAGTGGGAGTTTTTCTTGCTCATTCAGAGTCTATAGGCCAAAGGGTCAGCGCATGCATTCATTGTTCCCATCATGTAGGCGTTGGAAGCCCTTTGAGACTGAAACTGTGATTAAGAAAGCTCTGCAAACAAACTTTACTTGCAAATAAGTGTGTTTCTTGCTGCTGCTAAGTGAGGATGGAGGTGCAGGGCGCTGTGGTGCAGAGAGCGAGCTGCTTTGATGCTGTGAGGTGATGACGGAGACTCAGATGTCCCCGATGGATCGACCTCCATGTGTGTCATCTGCCTCCTCTGAACACTGTGGTGCTAAAAAAAAAGATAAACCTGCAGAAAAACACTGATTACAGTTATATAAAAGAATAGGAGAACAAGTTCGATGGTACCTTAAATGATCATTCTTCACACTCTCTCCACGCCTCTCTGATAAACGATGCAGCTCCAGGGAAGCTTTGTAAGTCCCTCAGTTGTGCACTTAAAAAAAATATTAATGAAAAAGTCAATATTGCAGACGCCTTGGGGCAGGAAGACTGAGTGCTTTGTATAGCAGTGCATTTAATAATTATAAACAGAGTCATTAAAACAGTTTTAATAACACTAAATCCTTCTAAAACCTCCTGTGTTTTAATTTAAAAAAAACACTCAATGGAAGGTTTGAGAAAAATATTTTCAATGTTTTGTGGAATTTGTCAGATAGTTCCTGATTTGATCATTAAATGTTTTTAGTGTTCCGCATAAAAATACAGAATGTGTGTTTTGGGCTTTTCGGCCCACAACCCCCAAAATAAGGTTCTAGAGACTGGGGACCCCTAATATCCCTGAAGGAGGTTAAAACATTTAACCGCACAGTGTAAACTCTGAAAATCATTTTAGTATTTTTATTGCAAGTAACGCAAGAAGCCGAACATGTAATCTTTGATCTACTCTTTTTGTATATGTGAATATCAATTCAATTCAAAGCTTTATTTAGTCATTTAGTTGTACTTTCAACCGTAGTGCAAAATGAGAGAGCGTTTCTAATCAGGATCCAATAAAAATAAAATAAAATAAATAAGACACAATTAAAATACACAGACAATTTGACATTTTTCATTTTCATATGTTCTTGGAAGGAATCTTTCGACCCCCCTCTCAGTGTCTTGCGTCCCCCAGGGTGTCCCGACCCCCACTTTGGGAACCACTGTGTTAGGGACAAGAATTTGTTGATGTACAGAGTGTTCTAGTTTCCTCTAGATTTGCACATCTCTATCAAAACATTCATGTGGAGAGCAAAAGAGGACAAAAGCATCAGACATTATGTAATCTGAATATTTAAGAGCAGCTAATAACCGGTACATTTTACAGGATGGTGGTTTTTGGTATGCGACCTCCTGGTTTCTTAAGTAGTAATATCATAAAGACCCTCTCTCCCTTAAGTCAAGCAGCAGGGGAATAAATGACAATGCACAAACACTAAAGGTGATTTTTAGTAGTAGTAGTGTGTAGCATGTCCATGTCAATACAG